TAAAAGCAAAATTACAAGGTGGGAACAAAATGACAAGTGGGGCACAAAATCATGAGGTGGGCACAATGTGGGACAAAACTAGCATCAAGCAATAGGATTTTAAGTTTAGCCATTCAGGTAGTATTTATCTAATGGAGAAGCAGGTCACATAGCAAGTATACATGGAAAGAACAAGGACCTTTTTAGGAAGAGAGGAACCAGGGAGGTCTGGCCACCCAGGGGGGTGACTGATGTTAATGTTAATTTATTGTTTATCTCTCTGGGAGACAGTAGGCCTGGTCATTCTGTCTTTACCTTGAGACCTGGACTCCAACAGATGTAAACCCAGCCACAGCTGTCAGTATGTTTTCATCTTTTGCACTGACTCCCTTGAGGGCCCAGCCCTGCCTGACTGCATATAATATTTTTACTTAACTTAGCAGTCTATAATAATTCCATACAGCTAAAGAGACATTCTTATAGTTAATCTCAACAACAAAGTTAAATGCACTAACATACACTGTACAGAAAGTAACTTCAATTATTCTCAAGTTGGTTATATTCTGTGTTAAAAGAATTCCAAAGAGATATTATATTCTCTGTTAAAAGAATTTCAAGCTATTCAACTTAGCAGAATCCAGGTCTTTGATACTTTTTTCTTTAATCAGATTTTATTGGTATATTTTAGATATACATAACAATCATATTCATTATAGAGAATTTGGACCTGTACATGATACAATTTTTTCCCCATTTCTCTACTTTCCTCATGCCCGGGAGATGGCTCAGTGTAATAAGCGCTTCCCTGGGAAGCACAAGGGCCTGAGTTCAATCTCCAGTTCCGCCAAAAAAAAATAAATAAATAAATAAAAGAATATCATCTTTACTTTTCTCTTAACCCCTCCTCCCCTCGTCATTTACAAAAGCTTTGTTTCCATTTTTTCCTTCTTACCTTTTTTTTTTTTTTTAAAACTTTTCCTTCCATTCTCTTCAGTATTTCTAAGAAAAAAAAATTAAAATGCCTTAACCTAGGACTGGGGAGATAGCTCAGTAGAATAAGCGCTTGCCTGGCAAGTGAAAGGCTCTGAGTTTGATCCCCAGTACGGGGGTGGGGGGTGGGGGGGGGAGTAGTAAATCCTCAAGTAGTAAAAACTGTATCATATCAACCCTGGGGAATTAAATTAGTCACTTATCTGCCAACAAAGATATCTTCATATAGAGTTATAAGTATTTTTATGAACTCATTCACTATGATGAACTCTGAGGGAAAAGTTCTCTGAGTGGAGAGGGAGTAAAAAACATCAACTTGTATAGGATATATGCATTCTGAAAGTCAGTATTGGCAAGCCAAAGACATAAAAGGTTTTGTTAGCAACTTAAAAACTTATTTTACTTAAATCAACTGTGTGATTGTTTCCAAAACTGGATGATAGACTTAATGTGGGTTGGAGATAATGACTCCTACCAGATGCAGGGCACAAATGGAAAAGATACATATCTACAGGGCAAGAAGATCATGGATTTGAGGCAATTCTTCAACAATCTGCCCTGTCCTCAACAATTTCCCAAATCCCTTCAGAAGAAGCAGTAACTTCAGGAGAAAGTAACAGATGTCATTAACAACTAAAAAAGTCAGAGGGATGTTGTTATGGTTTGGCCCTCGCTGTACCCTCAAAGCCTCATGCAGTCACTGGGTTGGGTTTCCAGAGTTTGTGATTAATTCATGGTCCAATGTTAGGATTATGGGTGTGAGTGCTACACCCATAAGCTAATATAAAGAAGGGAGAAAAGCTTGTTCTCTGCCTCTGCTCTTCCCTTTCTGCTCTTGCTGTTTTCCACCCCCATGAACTGCTGCCCTCTTCCATGTGCCACTGTGCCTTGGAGCCAGCCCAGTATGGACTGAAACCTCCACAAACTGTGAGCTAAATACATCTTCCCTTCCCTAATTCTGGGTGTCAGGTATTTTGTCCCAGCAACGAGAGAAAAGTAACCGAAACAAGTATTAAATACTAAAGATTTTTGCGTACTGTGCTATCTAAGCACAAACCCAATTGTGAAAGTTCCCTAAACTCCTCCTCCATGTAACCACTGCTACCCACAGCAGAACAGAAACCTTCAGTCATCTGGACTCTTTAATAGTTTCCATGGGAAGTTGTACTAAGGTTAGTTTTTATCTTTGTAAAAAGTTTCTATATCAAAAGAAAACTATAAGCAAGATTACCTTAGAACTTTTGATTTGTTTGAAAGTTTTCAGATTCTCTCAAGCTCTTTATCAAGATCTACTTACTTTACCCTAATTGTAAATTATGGGTTAAAGCAAGTTATCAAAAAGATCTAAACAGGGGTAGGGGAGATAGCTCAGAAGAATAAGCACTTGCTTGACAAGTGTAAGGGCCTGAGTTCAATCCCTGGTTCCGCAAGAAAAAAAAAGAAAAATCTAAACCTCTCTTAGCCTAGTTCTAATCTGTTATACAGTATTTTAAAAAATAATAAAGCTACAATTTATAGTCTTGCTAGCCTAAAGCTGATCATTTCTGCCCTTCTCCATTTTGGGGGGAATTCATGACATTTTTACAGTGGTATAGCACTGCTGTACTTGGGTAGACCAAAGAGTTAAAGGTCACATGATCCATGAAAGTAAGATATGAAGATAATAAAATTCAAGTATTTTATGATACTTACACTACCGCTTTGTCTTAAACACCAAACACCTCACATATATTTCATTCATGGACTTTCAGCATTATCCATAAAATGAAATACCTTTTGTAGTCCATAAAGAAAATTCTACAATAAAGAACATATACAGTAATATTTACATTTTGATGTAGAATAAAAACCTTAAAATAATCAAGTATAACAATCTCATTAGTTTCTTTTATTTGAGGCAATATAGTTCTATACCATATATTAAAACAACCAGTAAATACATTACACTGAATGGTAGGAGTAAATTAATTCTTTTAGGCCACAAGGGTACTACTGACTCTCACTGTGCTGCTCTGTGCAGTGACCAATGTCTAATAGCCTCAAAGTGACTGCCCGTTGGAAGGGAAGCATTTACCACCTACTTGTTCCTGAAGGCTCATAATTTGTTACTTATTTAAAGTAGTAGAAAATGAAGAGGCCAAGTACACAAAACAGGAATCTTCCAAATTTTAACACTCACAAACATGAACTACTTAAGAAAACCTGGGCTCAGGAGATAGCTCAGTACAATAAGGACTCGCCAGGCAAGTGCAGGGTTCTGAGTTCAATCTTTGGTACCACAAAAAAGGAGAAAAGAAAACCTGGGTTTCTATTGGACAGAAGAATCAATACACAAGCTAAATCAAACACAATCACTCCCCCAAATCTGGCATTGTTTAAATTCAAATCCAAAAAAGCAGCCCAACAGGAGCAGCAACTTGGTGTCTTTCTAATCTCCTTACGTTTTAACAGACTACAATAAAACCATTATATTAATCTTTTCCCAGTAGAAACTGTTATCATGATACCTGCTTTTGGTTAAAATACTTCAGTCCACTGGGCATCTCTAAGTTTTGATTAACTATGCTAAAACATAATTAATGTGATGTACAAAACTGGAAACCTCTGAAGAGTGCTCTGAGATGCCTCTGGAAGCTATTCTGGGAACTTCACACAGCCTATAGCAAGGTGTCAGGGGAGGATCTCAATCAAATCGATGGGCATACAGATGAGCAGTTCTTTGTACCATACGCAGTCTTTACTCTGTAAGCAAAGAAGCTCTAATCAAACCCCCAACCTAGGATATCAAACAAAGAATAAGCAGAAATTGCAAGGGGGAAGAGACAAGTCTAGGGTTTCCTCAAAAAATAACAGACAGATGCTGAATTTATTTCAGAAATCCATCCGCTTGCATCTACTGTAGGACCAAAACTGTTTTGTTTTAAAAAAACATATTTATATTTAGCTACCACAGGCAAGTTTCTATCACTGCATAAAGAGAACTCAGGCATGGATTTCTGTACAATTTCCCTTCCTCTTAAAAAAATCTAGACTTGAATGATAACATTCAGTACTTGCAGCTGCCACTGAAATGTTCACTGCAAATCTTTTTTTTTTAGCAACTTTTCAATGGGAGCTTCTCTTTTACTTAATCTGTCATTCGCTATTTTATAGTGCAATAAAGGTCAGTAAAGATTTCTTTCTTGAAATGACCTAAAATAGAATGCCATCACTTTACATTCTCAATCAGCGATCATTGGAAGAATCTCCCCATGAACTGAATAAATGAGCCATCTGTGACTCAGGCCTCATCTCCTGTTTTTAGGCTGACCCACTTCTACACAGTCACCAGGGTTCGCAAAATCGCACTTCTAAGGGGGCAGCAATAACTGCTCTCTGCCAGCACGTAGTTTGAATCCAACAGGGCAAAAGGGCGATGCGAAGTAGCACCTCTGCAAGGACCCCAGTCGTTATTTTAAATGACCCCCGCCCTGCCTCTCAAAAGAGAACTTCATGAGCCCCCTTAACTAGAAGCAAGCTTTTCTCAAACAGAAAGGCAAAGGAAGTCTTCAGGGACAGAAAGGCGGGCAAGCGCCAAGGACCAAGAACTATGACGAGCATTAGAGCACCTGGCGGCGGCCAGGGCGGCGGGCGCGGCCCCAGGGCGCTCCGAGGTCGCCCTCAGGTGGCAGAGTCGGGTCCTGGGCGGCGGGCCGCGCGGGCGGCGGGGAGACCTGAGAAACGGGCCGAGGAGAGCGACCTGCACCCACGGAGAGCAGTCCCCGAGCACACGCGGCGAGGGCCCGCGCCCCACGGAAGGCCGCGGCGGGATGCGCGAGCTGGCGGCGGGGACCCGCGGCAGGTGACAGCGCCTCGAGGAGCCAGGCCGCCCCGCCCACCTGGCCTCTCGCCCCTAGGGCCAGGGTCCCGCGCCGCACAGCGAGGACAGCGTGAAAGGAGCGGGCCCGAACGGCTGAGGGCCCGGCACAGCGGAGCCCGAGGCGCGCGCCATGCCCGGCCTGTTAGCCGCAGCCGCCCGCGCTGCCTCTTACCCCTTGGCGTGTTCCGTCTCCTCCTCATTGTCCCCGTCTATCCCGCACGTGTCCTGGTCGTCCAGCTCCAGGCTCTGCTGGCTGGCCGCAGACTCGCTGTCCTCCGCCATCGCGGCGGCGCGGCTAGGAGGCGGCGCTCCGAGCCGAGGGCGCGCGGGCCGGGCGCGGAGCAGCTCCCTCTAGTGCCGCCCGCCGTCCTGCTGCCGGGCCTCGCCTCAAACCGCGCTCGCCCCGCCCACCAGACACGCCCCCGCCCGGCCTCGCCCCGCCCAACGCGGCTGAGCCCCGCCCCCTCCTGCGTTCCCACCCACCTCGGCCTGAGCCACCCGCGGCACTCGCCCCGCCCACCACCGGGGCCCACCCCTCCCCGCCCACCCTTCCTCTTACTTGCAGAGCTTTTGGGAAGCCGCGCTGGTACTCCCGCTGGGTGTCCACACTTAACTGTGGTGGTGCCGGCGTCTTGGGAACGTGGGTCGCTCGGTGTTACAGCCCGCGGGACCGCTTGAGCGCCACAATTTCCGGAGCTCGCGCGCCCCTTGCCCACGTGCTCTCGTAACCCAGCCTGCAGTGTCTGTCCGACGCCGCGCAGTCCCCTCGCGACGCCCTCGCAGAGGCTTTGGAGCCGTCTCAAGCGGTCTGACCGCAGCAGGCACTTGGACGGGGGCGTTGTCCATGCTGGCCGCCTTTCCTTCCCCAGATGAGGGTCCGGCCAGACTGCAGTGGCCTGGGCTGGGCTGAGCCCTCCTGTCTTTGCACCCAGGGGAGTGGGCTCAGTCCTTTGCTTTCCCCATGCGTTTGGGTTCACAGGTCCGGCTAAACTGTCGGGAGTCTTTGTAATGGTTTTACCAGTAGTAAGACACTAGAAACTGTTACAGGGAGGAAAACTAGATGTTCTGGGTTTTATTTTGCAAAAAAAAGTCTTACTATGTAGCCCAAACTGGCCTTGTAGAATAAACGCTTGCCAGGCAAGCACAAGGGCCTGAGTTCAATCCCTGGTTCTGCCCCCCCCCCAAAAAAAAAGGCTTTCAAATTCGTGATCTTCCTATCTCGGCCTCCCAGGGCGCTGAGATTATAGGATGCAACACCGTGCCTGGGAAAAGGAGACTAAAGAAGCCACTGAAGTTTTTGGTGTACTTTATTTACAAATGGTATTGGAAGCATTTTATGGCTTCTGTTTCCCCAAGAGGCTCTCTCCATTAGATGCATCAGGATAGAAGTATCTAAAGTCAAAATCCACAGAGTGATCTCCAAGTCTAGTTGTTTGGTGTTGATCCGTATACAGTTCTGTAAAAAGTGCAACCAGGACCAAAACACAGGAAAGCACAGTGTTACCTCTGAACAATTGCAACTGTTTCTGAGACAGTCACGTGTGGCCTCCGACTGCAGACCTCAGGATAAAGGCAAATGCGGAAGCAGCTTGTCTCTGGGAACAGGAAGAGCTGCAGAACTGTAACCTGCTTGGGTAACCAGCAGGGTCCTCGGTGAGGCGTTTACCAAATTAGCCATTTGCAGCCTGGAGAAAAAGTCTCTCAAAGATTAAACAAACAAACAAACAAACCAAAGAAAACTCAGTAGACAGATATTTATTTGAATTGTCAGGGCATTGACTAAGAACATCTCAACAAAAGCGCTGGGAAAAACAAACAATTCTGGGGAAATAAAATGAGAGCATCAAAAGTTAAACACCAGGAAGCAGTAACAACCAGAGATGTCTGTTTTCCGAATAAAGTGAGACCTTTGCTGAAGTATTCTATACTACAAATGTTTCTTAGCAGTAGTTTCTCTAGGGAGGAAAAAGTTTGCAGATGACCCCAGGATTCCTGAATCCTATTGTTATGGGTAGAAACACTGTGTTTCAAGTATTTTTCTTACTGCTTTTCCTGGCTCAATCCCAGGACCAAACAGTGTTCTCAGAATCTCAGATCCTCGTTTGTTCAAGGGACAGCTCTGTTGCCTGTGTCACAGGAAGACCTTGGGAATTTCTTGTTCTGCCTGGCTCATCTTCTGTACAAATAGAAGATAACAGTTGTGAGATTGGTCTTGTTTTATTGTGGCAAAATACGTAACATAAAATTTGCAGTTTACCATCTTAAGAATATAGTTTGATTGTACAACAGAGTAAGTGTATTTAACACTAATAATCTCTAAAACTTTTATTTGAATAAAAACAAAATAAAAATGTTTTGAGACTGTACCTATTGGATATCTCTCCATTTCTCTGTCCTTTCAGTCTCTGGCAACCACCACTCTTTCTCTTTCACCTCTCCAGTTACCTGGTATAACTATTTGCTTGTGACTGTTACATTTCACGTAATATAATGTCTCCATAGTAAGTCGTTACAGCATGTGTCAGAAAATCCTTTTTAAGGCTAGATAGCATTTTGTTGTGTGTACACACTACATTTCATTTCCTTTATCCATCATTCATTGATAGACATTGGGTCACTTCTATACTTTTGACTACTGTGAACAATGGTGCTGTGAATATCTCTTTGAAACTTGTTTTCTGTTGCTTGGCATACATATATAGCAAGGAAGGTGCTGAATCATATGGTTATTCTGGCTAATTTGTTTGTTTGATACAGAGTCTTGCTATTCAGTTGAGGCTGGCCTGGAACTCATAGTGATCTTCCTGCCTCAGCCTCCTGAACCAAAGTAACAATAGCTGCAGCATGTATAGGGCACAAGTGTTGAGATCTTTCTGTATCTTCTCCAAACTTGCAAATTTTCCTCGCTCTCTCCCTTTCTTCTTTCCTTCCTTTCTTTAAATTGTACCAATCCTAATGAGTATAGGGGAAATAACTTCTCTCCCACCAGGGACTTACGTAAAACACTAATTGTACTTACCAAGTGTGTTTTTAACTAAAAGATAACTTTAAAATGACTTTAAATAACTTTAAAAGTTTTAAAGTCACATATTATACAGGGAGGAACTGGGTGGTCTTTATGGTTATGTGTAGGAGACTTCAGTGACAGATTTGCAGATATCTTAATTACAGTGTAAAAAATTTATGCATCAATCTATTTTTGGAAGTTCATTCCTCATTAGTTGTAAGGTAATACTACACAGACCTTAACCTCAGAACATATTTGAACATTCTCCCTCATTCGCTAAATAATATAATGTGAGTAGGAAGTGGGATGGGCAGAGCTAGCATTACAGTGAGAAGCAGTTGAGAGTTTTGACAGTAGCTCTCCGAATGAAAAGTCAAAAAGCTCATATTATTAACACTAGAAATATAATTTTTTGTTTCTATTTCAGGGAAGGGTCTACAGGGCGTTCAGGATCTCACTCCTAGATCCGACTCATGATCTGCCTGTTTACAGCCTCCCAAGTGCTGGAATTAAAGGCATGCACCACCATGCCCAGTCTCAATTACCATCTCACCGTGCTCCAGGGGCAGGGCCTGCTTGGCAGATCCAGGGGATGGAGCCCGGGCCCCTGTGCCCACTTGAAGATGTTTTAATTCACTGAGCTATTTGGCCCGCCCTAAAAATTCATTTTAAATCAGTGCATGCTCACCAACCTACACCTGTCTATTTGCTCAACAGAAAATAAATATTTGATAGAGTTGCAGAGATTTCTTCTTCAATCAGATTTGGTTGGTGCATTTTAGATACATATAATGATTACATGTATCATAGAGAATTTGTACCTGTACATGATAGAACTTATCTCTTTTTTCCCCATTCCCTTACCCTCCCCATTTACAGAAGCTTTGGTTCCATCTTTTCCTTCTTCTTTTTTTTTTTTTTTTTACTTTTTCCTTCTTTCTTCCCCCTGCCCCCTTACTCTCCCCTCCATTTAAACATTTGAATATTTTCTTCCTTGAACATTTTCTTCTTATTTCACAATATCAAGTAAACATTTTGGTCCTTATTTACACTTTCAGTTTCTCACACCAGAAAAACTATGTGGTATTTACACATGGGGGTCCCATTTATTTCACTTAACAGTATGGTCTAGATGTGCATCCACTTACCTAGGAAAGTCTCAAGCTTATCCTTCATAGGGCAAAGTGGTATTCCACTATATATTGTAAAAAAAAAAACAAAAACAAAAACAAAAACAAAAACAAAAAAAACCCCAAAGGCTGGCCAGATAGCCCAGCAGATTAAAGCTCCTGCTTAGGCAGACACAGGGACTGGGATTTGATCCCTGGTGTTCCATGCTGGCCCTATCCCTGGGGCATGCTGAGAGGGCAATTGAGACTGGGTATGGTGGTGCATGCCTGTAATCCCAGCATTTGGGAGGCTGAAAACAGGAGGATCACTATGAATCTGATCTGTGTAGTGAGATCCTGTAGACCCTGTACTAAGTATATTAAAACAAACAAACAAAACACACATCTTTATCCATTCCTCAGCTGATGGGCATTTGGGCTCTTTCCAAGATTTGACCATTAGAAACTGTGCCACTATAAACATGGGAGTGCATACTTTGCTGTGGTATGATGTTTTTAATCTTTCAGGAAGATACCCAGAAGGAGAATAGCTGGGTCCAATGGGACCTCTAGTCCTAGGTTTATGAGGCCTCTCCACACTGATTTCCACAGTGGCTCCATCAGTGTGCACTCTCACCAACAATGAAGAAGGGTTCCTCTTCCCCCATAGCCCGACCATCATCTGTTATTGGTTGATAATAGTCATTCTTTCTGGGGTGAGATGGAATCTCAGCATTGTCATTATCATTTAATTGTAGAAACTGCCTAATTCCTTCTTAAATTTCATTTGTGACCCATTGGTTGTTCAGGACGATGATACTTAATTTCCATGTCTCTATGAAGTTCCGTGGTTTCTTTTGCCATTTATGTCCTATTTCATTGCACTAGTCTGGTAATATGTATGGGATAGTCAATTCCTTTACATTTACTTAAGCATGTTCTATGAGCTAGTATGTGGTCTAAGTTACAGAATGTCCTGTGTGCAGCTGAAAAGACTATATTCTGATGTTGTGGAGTGGAACATTCTATAGACAGCTACAAAGTCCATTTGTTCAAAAATTTTGTTCAGTTCTAACATTTCACTGCTGATTTTTGTGTAGTTGATCTATTTGTGACAGTGGGGTGTTCATATCCTCCAATGCAACTGTGTCAAACACTTATTTGATTTTTCATATCCATTAATATTTGTTTTATATAGTTGAATGCACAGGTCTTTGTTGCATATATACTTTCTTTTTAATTTTATTTATTTATGTGTGTGTGTGTGT